GCATTCAAAGACCAAAAGACAAGAAGCAGAAAGCTCGAGACTGATGTGAGAAGCCACAGAGGCCACTTCTGAAAGAGTCACACTGCTGAGGACTGCACAAAGAACGTGAACCTTTCAGATGACACCTGATGTGGTAAAGTCAATGCTGTGTCCTGGATAGCCCCACCACCTTCATGCTCCAGAAAGCTCCAAAAGCAGATTTCTCTACAGGTATGTTTTAATGACTTTAATTTGAAACTCAACCTCAGACCACCACCACCACAAGCCAGACCGCCCAAGGAACACTTGCACCAGTGCAGCAAACAGCACACACTTAAAGCTTTCCTGTAGCACAGCAATTACTCTCTGTGTAGAATTCATTAGCTCCATGTTTACATCCTTGGTTCAACATGCAAAGGCTGATTAAACCAACGGCCAACAAAACCTCATACAAACATTAATTTATGAGAACTTCTGCATCTTCACTGTGTGAGTGCTCTCAAAAGCTGAGTGTTGCTAAGTGAGCCCGCTGGGTGCCACTGAGACTAACAATTGAAAATAGGCCTGGGCACTGAACGTCAGCTTGACAACTCCAAGCTATTGCCCATTCACCCTTCCCACTCAGAATAACAGTGACTCAGGGCTGTGAGAAACAAACACACAACCTCACCAAGCTGCAGGGTCGACAGCCCAACCACCAACATGTTTACATCATTCTCCATTTCATTCCTAGGAGATAGTAACAATCTCCACCACCACAAGTTGAATATATGTAGCTGTAAAACCTTGTAAAATAAATCTAAACCCAGACTTTCCTCTTATCCTCTGTAGGAGGTGGAGTTCTTGGAGTCTTTCAGAAGGTGCTCAGAAAAGATGACTGAAGACCTGTCACATCCACATCTTGAAGGAATTGCTTTAGAAATGGAAAAGTTGCTCAGCCTTTAAAGATGAGATTCATTCACAACTCTATGCAATGTTCAGTGAAACTTTGCAAACAGTCGGTGAGCAGCAGTTTCTTGTCTCAAATCATGCCCAGCACAACCAAAAAAACAAAACGAGAAGCCAGCTCCTTTTTAATCAGAAGACAAAAGCACTGCATGTTGCCAGAGCTTTACCTGAGTAAGCAACAGAAACACTCACAGTCAGCAAGAAAAAACAGTCATTCTAGTTTCCTTTTTGCCTCATTTCATCAACTTCAGACGACTGGCAAAAACAAGGCTTTTTTTTTTGGTGAAAAGCAGACAAACAAAATTAAGAGCCTTCACTGCAGTCAGAAAACCATCAGGTCACACCATTCCCTAATACTCACCTAATATTCACACTCACCTAAACATCTACCTTTTACTCCAGTAACATCTCGATGCCAGCCCAGGATTACTTCCCATCCCCGCACGACCAAAGGAGCTCAGTGTCTACAACATTGCTTAACTGATGACGAGCTTATGTGCAGCCCCAACAGAGGGAAACAGCACTGCACTCAACCTGCTCTTTGACTGAACAAGCAGCATTTCTGACAGCAAGATCCGTGGTGGGTTTGCTCACCTGCTCCGTCATTAACGCTCATTACAGCCTCAACACTGTGGCTCTTGGAGTAAGTCTCTTGCTGAGAGGCTCAGCGCCACATACACAGCAATAAACACGATAATGGCACATTAGGAGAGAGAACAAGTGATTGAAGAGTGGCCACAGCATTCAACTCGGAATAGTTGGGCTTCTATGATAAGACAGAAGTATTTCTTGAAGGTCAAAACATGTATTTACAGGAGCTTTAGCTCCTATACAGAAAGTAATGTTTTAGAGAGGGTTATAAGGGCAAGCTGTTCCTGCAGGCAGATAATCATTTTAGGTGATACCAAAGGATCATAAGGACTGGGGTGGCAATAATCATTTTAAAGGAAATAACAGACTTAAAATTTTAAGTAGAAGCATAATATTCTTTTAGCTTGATTTGCAGTGACCAAATCAATGCCATCTAGGTCACTGCTGAGCATTAAAAATAGAAATCCAGACTGCTATAGAAGTGCTGACCTTAACTCTGTCACTGAATCCCATAATTAAAACCCTGCTCCAATTTTTGTTCTCTACGAAATTAATGTGTTTTTCAAAATCAAGATGTCAGTATTTGAAATATCTTTACAAACAAGCCCATTCATTTTTTTTTTGTAAGAAATTATTTGACATATATTCATTCCCTTTGAGATATCCAGCACCTGACTGCCACTTTCTCACTGGCTCATCTTCAGCACGAGCTAGCACAGACAACTCCAACACACCACCCAGCTAACATGAACTGAAGCTCCCTCCATGGACTATGTTTGGGACTGAGGTGAGCATTAATGGTCATCTCAAACAGTTGATACTCACAGTCTCATGCCAGCAGGGGTCCTGACATGAAGGCAGCTTGGCCTATCATCCCCTCCTGCTTGGCTTTATTGCTTCTAAGCAGTCCAAAGTAGGAGATAAACTGAACGTGGCACGTCAGGACCTCTCACTAGCAAACTTGGCTCCACAGCAGCAACTTGTGTGGGCACCAGCACCTGCAAAGCTCCCTGTGGGACTGCTGCCCCAGTCCCTCCGAGGATGGGTGGATGTTACTGGGGGAACTGGAACGGATGCAGGGAACTGGAAACCAAAGGGGGTTTTGCACTGCACCGGGCCCAGTAAACCAGTCAGCTGCTAACTGGAAAGCAAGACCTGGCTTTGGCACCCAGCAAAACGTGGCAGCTGTGAAATCCTTACCTTTAAAGTTCTCAAATTGTATTTTAAACTGATTCTGCATACTGCCAAACACAGCACAACGAGCTCTGTCTTGAAATTATATATAAAGTAGATTTCTGGAGGAAAACAATCATTAGATGGAATAAATAAATAAATACCCTGCTTTGAAGTGATTTTAATCTAATTTGGCTGCAGGATAGAATTTTAACAGCTCACGTACTGCAAGATGCTCTATGAAATAGTTAGCAGGTTTAGACGCATGAACAGAGGGTTGGGGTTTTCTTCCTCCCAAGAGTTATTAATCATCAAATCAAAGCATGTTAAGCTTAAGAGGGATTTGTAGTGCTTGGGATTTGGGAGTCACTGTCACACCCCCACAATGCCTGTTATCTTCAGCCTTACCTGCACATCAGGGTCCAGGCAGCAGTGTCCCATGCACTGGTTTTCAGAGTAAGTCCTGTCACCACCAAGATAGGATGGAGAACTCACCTCCACCCATTGCCCAGGGACGCCCTCTCTGTAGAGCTAAGAATCAGTTGCAGCAAAACTTACCATGATATTTAGTCCAGAAGGACTAAAAAAGATGTATTATTTTCTGCCTGATATTCAATGTTTAGCATTGCTTCTGCCAGAGCCAGTGCTCTCCAGGCCAGGGGGTACTTTTACAAGCTAGAGTAAAACCTAGGTGTAGAGCAACTAGGAAACTTCTAACACAGCTTTATCATTATATAAACAGACCACATGTGCACAGCTATTGCCAAGTTCTTAGCTACGCCAGTCTCTGAAGCTCCCAAGAGGCCTTACAGGGTAAGCACACAAAGGAAACACTCCCCATAAACCATCCTGGACCGGTGAAATATGGGAAGCTGAGCTGGTTGAGACGAAAGCAAGCTGGTGAAGTCTAAAGTTAGGTCCTGAAAGTAAACATGCATGTTTGAAATTCCACGATTAACTGCCAGGATTGTTGACAAAGCCTGGGGCCGGGAGGAAGCAGGAGCAGCCACCTCCACACAAAAGAAAAGCTCCAAACTATTCCAAGTTTCCAGCACCCTGGGGTCCCATAAGCCATGTGAAGGTTGTTAAGCACTTGGAGCTGGTTTGATACACTTCGCTTCTCCTTATTCCCAAGGGTA